ATTTTTTTTTTTTATAATTTTTTTATTTTATTTATGTGTGTGTGTGTGTGGCCAGCTCAGCCCACCAGGGGGCAGAGCCGGCTGGCATGTGGTGCTGGGGGACCGAACCGCGGTCCCTGGGCTCTGTTAAGCTTGTTCCAAGTAGGTGCTTCAGACCACCGAGCCATCTCACCAGCCCCGTAAGTCTTCTTTAATGCTCTTTATGTTCCTGGCTTTAAGCAGGAGAATGACATGACGAGATATGATTTGTGCTTTGGAATGGTTACTCAGCAGTGCGGGGAACTGACTGAAGTCCCGCTGTGGTGCCTACGTGGTGCAACAGTAAGGAGAGGGGAGGAAGGCCCCTGTTCTGTGGATCAGGGCTGGCTTTGTGGGAGGAGAGAGTGAAAGGGTAAAGAATGGGCCCAGGCTTTGCGCTCCAGACAGTGCCACCAATTGAGACTCAGTGGGGAGGACAGGAAAGATGAACCCATGGGTCAGTCGTTTTGCATGTGGGACCCCACAGAGTGCAGGTGATGGGGTGTTGGAGTGCAGTGCAAGAGAGGAAGCAGAAGGGACACAAAGAAAAAAGTAATCAGAGGTTGAGCTGGTAACAAAAAGCCCACAGGATACCAACCAAGGGGGAAGTGGGAGATGGGGGGACCTAGCAGTGCGGTAGTGACCCAAAGGAGCAAGGCGGGGACCTCACTGTGGAGGTAAGCAGGGCAAGGGCTCTCCTCGCGGAGGAAGCCTGGGGAATGGGGCGGGAAGGCAGCGCAAGGGTACTCATTTGGGGAATTCGGAAAGGGAAGGAAGGGGAAGAAGCAGTGGCTAGAAATGTAGACCTGCAGGAAAGGTTGTGCTGTTCAGGGGCCAGAGCACAGGGTATGTGCGTGTTGCAGGCCAAGGGAGAAACTCCACAGAAGGGAGAAGGGTGGAGGGGCCTTGAGGCCTGTGGAGCTAGGGGAGCAGCGCACAGGATGAGGAGGCGAAGGCTTGGAAGAGTGCTTTTCCTACTTTAATACGCATTCCAGAATCAGGTCACAAATCCCCCCATCTCAGCTCTCCACATCGGCAGCCAACCTTCTGACCCAAGAAGCACAGGACCCCTTCATGTCCTGTCACATTGGGACATGTGAGGAAACCTCTCATCCACCGACCTTGGTCACTATGGAGGTGCCCAGGCTAGGAGAAGGGACAGGAGGAAGAAGAAGCTGGGGCCTCTGGGCATGCTCGGGCTGGGCCTCAAGTGTTGGGGGGAAGGTGGGGGTTGGGGGTGGGCAGGAGTCTCCAGGGAGGCCTGTGGGGAGGTCAGGAAGGGTGCACAGAGGAATGGGGTATGAGGATAAAATGCAAGTCCTATATGGATGAAGGAAGGGGACAGTGACAGTGCAGATGAAAGTGATAAGGAGGGCAACAGAGCTGGGCCAGGTGGCAGAAATCTCAGAGAAGAGAAAACGTGATCTGAGTTAGAAAAGACAGGACTGCGTGCACACACACACACACACACACACACACACGCCACACCAGAGTGGTGGTATTCTTGGGAGAACACAGGATGATGCGGAGTTCTGATTTCTTCTTTATATCGCTTCTCGGCCTTTTGGCTAAGATCAAGTGAGCTTGTTTTTAGCAATATAAAAGAAAATGCAATAAACATCTCTATTGATGCCATCCAAAATTTGTAATTGTAAGCAATTCATGTTTACTTAAAAAAAAAAAAAAAAAGTAAAGAAAACCAAGGCTTTGGGCTGCAGTTAAGGACCTTTACCCCTCCTCTCAGAGAAGCACGGCCAGTCTGTTTTAGCTTTCGGTCTATGTGCGCATGCGCAGAAGACGACCGGATGCGGCTGTGTGACCGCTGCCTTTTTGCGGAGCAGCTCTCCTTGCAGTGAGTGCGTGGGGCCTTGCTAAAGTGAGGAGGCATCGCACAGGGCATGAAGGCCCGAGCAGAGCTTGGGGAGCTAGGGAAGGCCGTGCCCTAGAAAGACCCAGCCCCCAGCTTACACACTCTGGGACACACCTGATCATTAAACATTCCAGGCAGAGAGGAAGGGAATGACTACTGTATTTCTCTGGTGAGGTTTGAACCCATTTTCATATCCCTCAAGCCACCCGAGAAAGGCAACAAGCCTGGAAAGCAATTATCCCCATCTGCTAGATAGGGAAACAGGCCTGGAGAATGCCAGGGAGCTGCCCAAATGTCACAGTGCATTGGGAAAACAAAGAACTAGATTCCTGGGCTGGAGTTCTTTCTGGAAGAATTCCTCAAACAGTAGTGCAGAGGTGGAGCAGATTCTTGATAACTAGGACTCATGAACTTTGGCCATCTCCCAAGGCCAAGAAGCAGCAATAACTTCAGGTTGGCCCATGGCCGGGAATAATGGGCTGGAGAGAAGCAGAGGGGCCAGTTCTTCCACCTCAGAGGGCCCAGAGAACAGGCCCCTCTGGAGGGAGGCCGGGGTTCTTCCCACATCCCTTCCCTACACACTCAGAACTCAGGAGCTGCCTTTCCCCTCAGACAGACCTAGGTCAAGTCTTAGCTTCACCTCTGATAATTACCATGACATTGTGGAAAATTCCTTTCCCTTTCTGGGCCTCAGTGTTTTCACCTGTGATAGGGTTGGGGTGGGGTGATTATCTTTAGCTCTCTGTGCTTCCTCTAAGGACAGAGAGAATCAGTATCTAGAAGCAAAAGCATTAAGAGCTCCGGTCATCAGCCCAGTTCTAGAAGGCCCCAGGCTGGAGTCAGGAGCACAGCTGAGGAGACTGGTGAGAAGCCACGTGCAGGCCTGAGCTTGACCTCAGCCTCCTGGTGACCCATGCATGCTCCACGTGGCCCCTAGAAGGTGGCTGAGCCCTCAGGTAACTGCTGTTGCAGGGTTAAGGAGGTGGGGAGGGGCCTTTCCTCCTGCTTAACAGAAGCAAGATGTGAATAAATGTTCCTTGCAAGACTCCAACAATAAAGCCATGAGTAAAACAAAAAGCACAATCCTTACCTTGCCCTCCCACCGGCCACGCTGCCTTGGCTATCACTTGGGTGCTATTGATTGCTGCAGTGAACAGTTATACCGTCTGTAAACCTGTCCTCTTTGCACTCTTTTTTTTTTTTTTTTTGGGTGGAACCGGGGATTGAACTCAGGTCCTTGCGCTTGCCAGGGAAGCACTTATTCCACTGAGCCATCTCCCTGGCCCTTGCACTCTTTGATGTATGATAAAGACCTGGAAATGAAGCTTCTGCACCATCATTACAAGTGTCTGACCATTTACAATAAGGAAAAGTGCTGCTCAGGGACTGGCCCCGTGGACACCAGCATTAAAGTGGCAGCAGGGAGGCACCTGCCTGACTCTCCTCTTCCACCTCACAAGTCTGTCTCCCAACTTGCGCCACTGCACACTGTCCCCTCAGGATAGCAGATGGTAGGGAGGCCTATCTGCTGAGGGTTACGACTGGCCTGTGAGACTGTGGAAGTCAGCGACACCTGGGGCTCCTCTCCTTCCCCGGTGTGATCTTTTCCAAACTCTGGAAACTGCATGCGCTGCTCCAGGCATGCTAGGCACATGCTCCACAGGCACATAGCAGACACCACTACAGGTATACAGATGCCAGGCCAGCCCTGCCTCCAAGGCCGCTGACCCTGGGATGGGGTGTAGTCTGGGAAGGCAGGCGGTGCTTCTCAGAAGTGGGTTCCAAAGACCAGAGAGTCCAAGCAGGCAGCTACTACCACGTGAGCATTTCAAAGGGAGCATTTAGGCACCAAGACCCGCTGGGGATCCAGGGTCTTGTGTAATGTGATCCTTCCGGCTGGGTGGTCTTTGGGGATAGCTACCCTCCAGATCCAAAGGGAGAAACAGTGCCTCTGTGAGAGGCTGGAGGAGGAACCAAGGGCAGCGCCTTCCATTCTGGCACACAAAGAGGGCTCAGCTCAGCCCCTCTATGCACCTTGCTGGGTTTGCGCACTAGCCATGAACAATCTAGGGGTTCCCAAGGGATTTTCTTATCTTTTGTATCTCATTTTGTTTCACCATGACCTCCAGAGACAGGAATTGAGCCTGATTTTTCCAAGAAGAGAACAAGACTGGCCCAAAGTAAAGAGGTGAAGCTCCCTGCCCAGGGAGGAAGACAAGCCTGGCAGGCCAAGGTACATTCTCAGCCCAATAAAAGAAAGGCGAAGCACAGTCCTGTAATCCCAGCACTCAGGAGGCGGAGGCAGGAGGATCACCCTGAGTGGGAGGCCAGCATGGACTACACCAGGAGACCCTGTTTAGATAGATAGATAGATAGATAGATAGATAGATAGATAGATAGACAGACAGATAAATGAAGGCCAGGACAGGACAGGGATGGAGGGAGGGATGGAAAGCCACTGGCTTGAGGTTTTACAGCAGTTTAGGACAGACCCTAGCTCTCCAGGGAGCGCTCTTTCCCAATCCAGGGCTGCCCCTTCCTATTCCCAGGCTTCATCCTGGGGGCTTTTCCGCCCAGGTGCCCATCAGTTGCAACCCCATCTTATCCCCTGTCTCAAGCTATCGCAACTACGCTGAGCCTCAGTTTCCATCCGTCAAGCGGGCAAACTGCAGCGGGGTGGGCAGGGGTGCGGGCGGGGCGGCGCTGTGACTCAGCCGCGCTCAGGTCGGGCTGCCGAGCCGGTCGGACGGGCCGCTGCGCGCCGCGGCGTCGGGGGCTGGGC